TTTTTTTAACTGTCTGTAATGAAACATTTGAGACCTGTAATTATCTCACTAAGATTTTATTTAATTTTCCCATTTCTTTTCATGTTCTTCAGGAGAGAAAAAACGTTGCCTGTTCCGCCTGATCACACGTTTGGAATGGTCTTACCACCGGATGATTTTGGTAAATTTTGTATAAAAATGTTCTCCCGCCTTACATACGGGAATATTTGGTGTGTCCTTAGAAAAAGCTTTTTCAGTTGAAGACAACAAATACTTCCTTTGCAGGCATTGGAGAGCTGATCTACTCCACAGGTCCACGGCAGTACACGAGAGGCCCAGACAGACAGCGCAGCCTGGTGAATGCAGTGAGGCATCACCTTAAGAAGGTCAACTTTGAAAACTTCCCCTCCTTGCTAAAGGCATTCAGACATTATGACAAGGTATGAATAGACTCACAACAGGTTGCCAACTTGTGTTTGATAAGTCAAAGTGCTGGTAGTAAGGAAGTCAAGCTGTTGGTTTTAAGATAAAGCCAGTGATGTGTGACTCTGTGGTAAGATGATTTTCAAAGTAATAGAGCTTTAATTCTCATTTTGCAGACTTGTGTCACACTTCTAAACACATACCGAAGTCTGTATGGGTTCAAAGGGTTGTTATTTATGAAACTAGAAACCAGTACCAAATATTTTGCCCATTGCCTACAGATTCTACATGTTCAAAATGTGTTTATAGGGATTATGAATCAGTTTTTTATGTTAATTACCAGAAAGGAAAGGGGATGATTGACAAAGAGGACCTGCGTGCAGTGTGTCATCAGTTCCAGCTGAACGTCAGTGAGTCGGTCCTGGATGACCTGATGGACTACTGTGACACAGACAAGGACGGGTTTATCAACTTTCTGGAGTTTGCCAACTTTCTCAACTGGAAAGACAAAATGCCCATCAACATTCGAGAGCAGTGCATTATTGCAAATGGTAAGAAGAAGGCAATTTAATCTATCGGTTGATTTTATGCTTCATCACAGAACTAAAACTGCACTGATACCACCGACAATATGGAATGCCAAAAGACGACAGATTTAAGTAGTTTTTACATTTTGGTCTGATTAATTTATCTGCAGAGCGTCAAACCAGCTCAGCTCCAGGTGACATAGAAAGAGGGACAGCACAGCTTCATGCCTGTCGGTTGGTTGATCTTGAGGACTTGCAGCCTGTTGAGCCAGGCAGCTCACTGAAAACTCTTAGAAGCCTTAGGCAGACAAGGGCAGCCCCAGACCACTTCAGAACTACCTCCTCCCTCATCGGGGCTGCAGGCGCTGGTCGTTTCCCATCAGGTAAGTCAGGAGACTTTAAGCTGACAAATATGTTTTGCGCTATTAAAGCTGCTTCTCGCTTTGGACAAGATTAAGGAAGGAATATACCAGGAATCCACTGTCATTCACTTCTTCTTAAACACAGATCTTCCTCATGACACAGTTCAAATCACTGTCGTACCAACTCATCAAAACCAGCCATTTTTAATAAAATCAAATACATGAGATATTTTAGATTGTGCATATTTGAAAACATCCTTTTGTATTTTAGAAATGTTTTACGTAGTTTGCTTACTTTTTACTCCCTTCCCTGTACATCATCTGGTCTCTCTTTAAATAGATGGACGTACATACGGGATCCCATCTGTGCGCTCAGATCTTCCAGCTCCTCGCATTAAAAGAGTCAGTGACAAAAACAATTATGGCGATACATCCACAGCTGGAGATCTTCTACATCCATCAGTTCATGCCCTGCAAGGTGTTTATGAGGAACATTTCTTCTGTCCTCGCAGCAAGGAGGAGGTACAGCCTATAGATGAGACTGGGGTGGCACTATCTATCTTTCAAATCTCACCATCTTTTATTATTTGTATGAAAAAGAACATTATTGTTATTATTATTTGCCAACAGAAACAATTTTACATTTTTTTTCTGACACAGAGG